TTACGTACAAATTTCTACATAATTTTTCACAAATTTCTACGAAAAATAATCATAAATTTCAACATTATTATTCACATATTTCTAAATAATTGTGCACTTTTTTACAAATAACTAGTATGCACACATTTTTGTGCGAACAAATTTATGTACAAAATTTCTGAATAAGTTCTGAACAGAAATAGGGGAAAATTTGTACTTAATACTTTATGTGTCAATGCGACTCTGCACGAAAAGGTACGTGAACATTTAATGTGTGAGCTGCCGAGTACTCCTCTGCGGATGCTGTCGAGAGCTGCGGGGCGGGACCGCGCTGAGCGCTTCCTACCTACACGCGCCGCAAAGGAAGAGCCTTTGAAGAAGAGTCGGGTGGAGTTCGGTAAAAGGAGGTGTTTGGAAAGCCAAACAGATTTTCGTCGAACCAGGTCGTGCAACGCAAAGAAGTCAGCTTAGAAACCACCGAGCAGAACCCAAGGAAACACAAACTAGACGAGAAATACTTGGATTTGTTTCGACTCCTCTGGTTTTGAGGGAATACTTGCTCCTTGAAAAACAGATGTCCTGAAGATCTGCAAGCATCTCATCTGCTCCAATTTTGAGGACGGATGAGTCGCGCAACATTGCCATCATGGGCGCCATTGTGTGCCTGGAATTGGTTGTCTTGTTGTAGCGAGAGGAAATGCCGTTCCAGATGTGCGATCCCATAATCAGGAGTGTTTTGGGGGTCCGTTGTCATTGTCTGAGAGCAATGTGCGTCAGATATTGTTAGGGGGGTAAAGGGGGTGACCTTGCTGGGCTGGGCGGCCAGGCGTATTACTTGCTCAATGACGGAGGACATGGAGGCCCTTGCGCGGCGGAGGCCTTTTGTTATGCCTGCATTGCGCTCGGCTCGCTGAACTTTTATCCCCTTCTTACTGGAATGTGATTTAGGGTCGAGACTTCTTCTAGACGAGAGCAGCGGCGGGGAGAAGGGGGAGAGAAACAGAGCGAGAGGGGAGTAGAGAGCACAATGGGTTATCGTGGACAAAAAGGAGATGTCTGGACCGCTGCTGCTGCTGCTGCTGCTGCTGCTGCTGCACGGAAAAAAATATGTTATCTATTCCAGCACAACGTTTGCTAGGACAACTAACGTGTTTGCTGTCAGCGTGACAAGCAAGGTGTTCGACCAATACAACATATGTATTTGTTGAATATGCTTAATTCTTAGTTGTGAGAAACGAGAAAGTCTGTTTCTTGTAGCTAAATGCCCCTAAGCTCGTGTGACTAAATTTTCTTATCTGTGTTGGCTGAGGCATGTTGTGTCCAGCAGCCAACAGCCACAACAAAATATGTATGGGGTGGGCCAACTAAATATTAGCTCTACCAACCAATCCCTCGACAGCTACCGCGGCTTACCAGAGTTTCCTCATGGCAGCTTACGTCTAGTCTGGTCAAGCGAATTTTACTAGCTGTTAGGGCTGAAGCCCAAACATCAAGGTTGTTTTTCCGAGTTCCCACTTGATGCTTGTTTTTCATCCCAGTTTTAACGCGCGCAGTGGCTCAGTGCCTCCAAGTCGGAGCGCAGCGCCGATGGGCGAGGGTTCAACACCCACTCGGGTCGGTTCTAATTCCTTGTTAAG